TGGTAGACTGGGATTTCTTAGTGGAAGTTATGAGGAATTTTGGCTTTGGAGACAAGTGGTGTAAGTGGATTAAGGGTTGCATTAGTACCTGTCATTACTCACTCTTGGCTAATGGCATAGTGGTTGACCACTTCCCAGCCATCAGAGGAATTCGACAGGGGGATCCTCTTTCTCCTTTCTTGTTCACTCTAGTAGAAGTACTGGGTATTCTTTTTTAGAGAGCAGATTTGAGGGGTTTGATGAGAGGTTGGAGAGTGGGAAGAGAAAGAGTACCTATCACTCATTTGCAATTTGCTGATGATATTGTTCTATTCTGTGAGGGAGGTGATCTGAGTTGGGTGAGGAATATGAAGGAGGTGAAAACGGTTTTTGAGAAAATGACAAATTTGAAGTCAACTTCAATAAGACTTGTGTAGCAGGCATCAACATGGAAGATGAAGAAGTTTATGAATGTGCAATGATTTTGGAGTGTGAGGTATGTTAGTGGCCTATGACTTATTTGGGTTTACCTTTGGGGGGAAATCCTAGAAGTGTGAATTTTTGGAACCCGGTGGTGGATAGATTCTCAAAAAGGCTTGCCCCCTGGAAAAGGAATTATCTATCGATGGGTGGGAGAATCACTTTGATCAAATCAACATTAGCAAATCTGCCAGTGTACTTCCTTTCGGTCTTTAGAATGCTAGTGGGGATTTGTAGAAGGCTAGAGAAGGTAATGAGGGATTTTTTATGGGAACCAGGTGAGGAGAGGAGGGATCATAGGGTGAGATGGGAACTAGTGATTATAAGTAAGAAGCTAGGGGGTCTAGGAATTGGGAATATTCAGAGGAGGAATACAGCCTTACTGGGTAAGTGGCTATGGAGATTTCCGATGGACCAAGATAAATTGTGGACAAAAGTGATAAAGAGCAATCACTGACTGACGGCAGATGGTTGGGACGCTGGAATTTCGGCTAGAGCTTCAGCAACAACACCTTGGAAAGCCATTCATGCCATTCTTCCTTGTTTTCTACCCTTCGTCAGGTACAATTTGTGTTCTGGAAATATGGTGAGGTTCTGGGAGCATGTGTGGGTGGGGGAGACACCACTTAAAGATCAATTTCCTTTCCTTTTCTCCCTTTCTAGGTACAAAAACTTAACTGCCTCATCTTTAGTTTCTTCCGTTGGCCCAGGATTTCAGATTAATTGGGATTTGGGTTTCAAACGAGGTCTCAGAGATTCTGAGATGGATTTGGTGTGGTCATTGACTCAGGTTCTCCAAAAGGTTTTTTTAGATCCAATTAAGGGGGATTCCCGAATTTGGACCCTCTCTTCTGGCTCTTTCAGTTGTGCCTCCTTTTTTAGTGCTCTAGCCCACTCTTCTGTTACTCTTGCCTCTCCCTTCCCTTCTAAAGAAGTGTGGGGAAGACCGATCCCACCTAGGGTTGGAGCACTCTATTGGGAAATAGCTTTGGAGAGAATTAATACCTACGATCTCCTTCAAAAAAAGAAGCCTTTTTGGTGCTTGTCCCCACACTGGTGCACCCTTTGTAAAGCTGATGGTGAGTCTTGTTCTCATTTACTTATATCCTACCATTTTATTTCTTCTATTTAGGAGTGGTTTCTCTCTTTATTTGGTTGCAGGTGGACTCCTCCATCAAGCATTCGTAGCCTCTTCACTTATGCAGTTGGTTGCCGGATCAAAAAGAGGGGAAAGATCTTATGGAGATGCACTAAGGCAGCAGTTTGTTGGACGATTTGGGAGGAAAGGAACCAAAGGATATTTGCTGAAAAAGAAAGAAGTAGGAACACAATTATAGAAGTAATCTCATTGAGGGTAGCACAATGGGTAAAAACAAAGAATCTTTTTGAAGATGTTTCAATAGAGGCCATCATGAATAATTGTCAGGAGATAGCAGTCTCGGTTCCCAGTAGACTGAATATCCTTCAGACGTGGATCCCTCCAATGGAAGGCTTTATCAAACTCAACTTTGATGGGAGCAGTGAAGGAAACCCAGGGCCATCAGGGGTTGGTGGTGTGTTCAGAATAGAGGCAGGTTCAGTTATAGCCCTTTTCCGTGGACTAATTGGAGTTGGAGACTCTTTCAGTTATAGCCCTTTTCCGTGGACCAATTGGAGTTGGAGACTCTTTGAGAGCAGAGATTCAGGCCCTCCTGGAGGAGGTGAAAAAAGCTAAGGTGTTGAATATAAATAAGCTGATTATTGAAGGCGATTCGTAAGTGGTAATTGGCTGGATAGAGAAGGCAAACGAAGGGTTATGGGCATACATTAATGATAAAAGGCATTTCAAGTGGCTAACACAAGGAATGGATGTGCGTATCCGGTGGGTTAAAAGATGTGCTAATTCATTTGCAGATGCTTTGGCCAAATAGGGGGTGGGAAGAAGTCATTTGTTTTGGGCTACCATGTAATCTTTTTGTTGGGGGGTGGTAAGAGGGTTTACCTCCCCCCACCTTTGTATTTTAATCTTCTTATAATCTAATGAAAGTTTCCTGTTATGGATAAAAAAAAGGTATACAAATTTCAACGTAGCATCTGAACCTATCTCACTAAAAGCCCGACTTTCCAAGGAATATCCTACTTATTTTCCATCCAAGATATGATAATCTGACGATTCCCTTCTATATCTATCTTGGTCCACCCGTTCACTGCTATTAATTTCACTAGTGTTAGTAGTAAAGCCTGCATCTAAGCTTGCAATCAGTTTGTTATTCCTATTGGACCTGAAAAGCTCAAAAGGATGTTGCCGCTGCTGTAATCCCCAATTACTCCACCTATTCTTGAGGCACCTGGATTTCTTGAAATGCACCAACCAAAATTAACTTCAGCCTAAGCAACAACATTTTTCCACTCTCTTAATAAACATTCATTGATACTCCCTTGAACTCATCACAAACCATCACCCAGTGTGTTATCCTCATAGCTATGAGCTCGATAAATTTATCAAGCTTCATTGCTTTTTCCTAAAAATTCTAGTATTCTTTCCCTCCATAAGTACCACATCACTACAATTCTTGTGCAGTCCAATAGAATCTTCTCCCTTTTTGTTTGATGAGGCTAAAGACACCAGGAATTTCATGACATTAGATGGAGCTACTCACAAACTTCCAAGGCCAAAGACAAAATGATTCCACACCTGAGTTGTATATTGGCAGTTTAGCAGAAGATGATTAGCACTTTTCCACTCAGGAAGAGAAGATACCAGGTTCTTTTTCTTTGAAGTCTCAATAGGTGTTTAAGGTTTGACTTACTGCTTCCCAACTGAATACCTTTCACTTTTGATGGGATTGGACAGTGCCTAACATCTTTGAAAGGAAAAAGGTTTTATAGCAGCATGATGATACAATAACTTAAAAAAGGTGGAACAAGAGAAATGACCATTAGAATTAAGAGCCCACGCCCTTTCAATTGCCCCATGGACATTTTAATAACTCAAGTTGGTTTACCAATTCTTCAACTTCAGACTCCCTCAGTCCTCTCCTTAAACCCAAATCCCAACAAAGGTCAGTTCCATCAAAAGAAGCAAGTTCAGAAATACATTTATTTTTTGAAAGTAAAGAGGTTGTAAATTCTAGGAAAGTTTTGGCTAAGTGGAATCTCACCCCACCGGAGATGATCCCACAACTTCACCTTTGTACCTGATATTGAACCATACCTAATATGTTGAGAAAAGGTAGAGAACCATACCTACTCTGATAACCAAGCAGCCATAAACATTGTTCATGACCCTGTACAGCATGATCTAACTAAGCAATAAACATATTGAAATGGACAGGCATGCAAGCCATTTGTAAAATAAGCAGATCAGCTGGCCGATTGCTTAACTAGAGTTCTAAAGCCCCAGCTTGAAGACAAGAATGTAATCAACTGTTAAATCATAATTTGCACCCTATTCTATAAAGATTAATTAATTAGCATGACATTTACAAATTCACACCTTCCCTTCATTCTCTTCTCTTCCTTCCACTTAATTAACAATGAATTTTATTATGTATAAACAGTAATGTACAAGTTTTCCTATCTCCTCTCTCTTCATAATCAAGCAAATTAATCACCTAAATTATAAGTTATCCTTAATCCACGATTGCATTTTTTATCAGCATTTAATCCATAACAGCATTGACTTGATTTGGCAAAGGCAAAGCATTGAACCAAATAAGTTTTACAAGTATTAAAAAAAAAGCATTTATGTTATACACAAATACCTTATTTAGTAATTTTCTTCTAAGAGGATTGTTAAGTATCAAGAATATAATGCCTTGAAAAAAACATAATAGCAATTAATATGTCAAAAACTATAATACTGGAAAAGGAGTGCATTGATAAAAAGCAACAAAGTTCATCAGAATGGTTAAGAAAAGATAGAAATAGACAGGCACATATTTTAAGATTAAAGATAATCACACAGGCAGCACTCTTTTATAAGATGAAGAATTCAAGTTTTTGCACCTAGGTAATTCCATTCTAGGAGGTGTAAAAAAGATTTCAATCAAAATTAGGAGAAAATATCTGAAATGGGAAAATCTTGCACTCCTGAGGAAAAATTATTATATTTTCTTGATTACTTAATAAAGATCTCCATTATTTTAATCCTTCTAAATATGCAGTGTCCAGATTGTGGGAACTTGAACAATGCAGAGGCATGAACAATATTGACAATGTTGGAACCATCTTCAATGTTCTAAATGGGATTTGAACAAGATTGAACCAATAAAGAAATAAATAGTCATACATCCACAAATAAATAGTCATACGTCCACAAGGCTAATGCCTAATGGATTTTATAAAATATCCTGTTAGAAAAAATGTAGTCCTTACTCCATGTTCAATAATGGAGGACATGGCCATAAGGATATAATGTTATAAAGGAATGCCTTACCCTCAACTCTATTTCCTTTAAAATATATTACCAAACACATGTAATTTACAAGATATAACTTAAACCTCAACAGAGGAGTTCAAGAAAAAACAAGTTGATATGGTTGAGATTAGAGATTGCTTACCTATCACAAAGTTGAAAATTTTTGCATTGGTTGCAAATCCAGCGATTTCCAGATACCATTAGATGACAACAATGAGTGCACGCATGCTGCAAATGTACCATGATGAAATCTTCCTTCATTGGAGAGATAGTTTCTCCAAGCTGTAGATCAACAACTTTTGTAAGAATAAAAATAACTTATCCAAACAAAGGGAACTTCAAAGGAGCAGCATTTAAAGAACATGCAATAGGCACACACAGATCCAATAAAGTATAAGACTGTCAAACTATAAGAAAATGACAAAATCCATGCAAATAAAAGAAAACAACCAATTAAGAGCACTTAGAAATGGAATTTACCTTCTGCATTAGTAGAACATCCTTGGAGGCATTGCCAGAGAGATCAGTTTGACCAGCAGCTTTTAAAGCCCTTTTTGTTATAGTCTTCTTGGTTTTTCCTTTCTTCTGTTGCTTTCTTCCATCTTCTTCCTGACGAAGCAGATTGATCATATCCTCTGCAGCACCAGGCCAGTAGTCACCATCAAAATATGGCAGACGAGCTGCAGTTACTTTAGCCTTACATTCCCCAGAGGATACAAAGAAATGGTCATATAAATTAATTACATCAACCACAATGTTTTCCTTAGCTGCTTTCCTTAACATCGACAAATACCTGACAGAAAGATACCAATGCATGAGGCTACATCTTTTTAGGAACATGGAATCACACCTACAGATAAAAAGCATAAATAGCTGGTAAAATCAAATCCTTGGGAACATCAAGCTCACCACTCCCTAAGTTTATCAGATTTTGGTGTTTTCTGGATTTCAGGATGGCAATATAAAATATAGTCTTCCCCCTTTAGTGGAGGGCAAGCCCATATGTAGCAACTTGTGAAACCCCGTTTCTTGCAATACTCAAGATATCCAATCTGGAAAAGAGAAATGCAAAATTATCAAAAAATAAACAAAAATAAACAATTGGCAAGAACAAAATAGCAATACTGAGTAGAATACTAACAAGAATTTCATGATAAACAAAAGTGCGAAGAGCCTCTCCAGTAACTGTTTTGATCTCAGGCCTGAAGTACTTTACAGAATCAAGATATGAGAGATACACACGGCGCTGATTTGGGAACGCGCATTCTGAACCAAATTCTTGAACATACATGCCAAAAAGGCATACTTCCACACCTTCAATCTTCTGAAACAATAGAATTGCCTGGAAGAAGGATTTCAAAGTTCAGATCCTTGGTAATTTTCTGAAGGTTCAAAATAGCCCATCAATCATTCTACCAGCAAACCACCAAGGATAAAAAGTAATATATATATATATATATATATTCATTGATTTCATAAACGATACCTTCGATTTATATGGAAATTCTGTTGGATAATTCTCTTCTTGGAAAATCTCTAAAAAGCGCTGTTTCACTTCCAATTTTTTGTCGACAGATGATACAACTCTGATTACAAGAGCTTCAGCTCCTGGAACCTGGCAACATTAAATTAAAAACTACTGTAAATATCACTATTTAGAAAGCTGGACTGGACCGGCCAGTCTGACTGGTTGAACCATGACCCGAGGCCTTGGCCGGTTCAGCCATATGTTAAGAACCGTAGTTCATGAAAAACCAACCAAAACTGGCTGACCACTGGAAAACCGATGAACAAGTCCCGGTTTTATAGAACCATCTCATCATCAAATGAACCAAAGTTTCAAAATATTAATGGCAAGACTTGAACCATGACCTTTCTATTGTGTGTATTACCTTACTGCCATTAATCCATCATGTTATTTGTCTACATTTATGACTCTAATGTATATATTGCTTTAGTGCACATGTTATTTAAACAAAATATAAGTTAAGAGACTTGAACCATGGTCATTTACTTTAAAAATTAAAGTTTTAACCATTTACCCATTACATTCAAGTACAAAAGCATTTGTAATTTTTTTTTTTTGATAATTGAAAATGATTTCATTAATTAAGAGTAATAAAACTTTACAAGGATCCCTTGGAGAGGCACGAGATGCAGCCTCCCCTAAACATTACAAGTGATCAGAAATAAAGATTACAAGGCTGCGCACAATAACTGATCCCTAGCAGACCCCTGTTTAGCAATATAGTATTTATGTAATTTGCAATGTATATTACATCATCACGGTTCAACCTCCAGTTTGACCATAGTTGAACCTCTGACCCGTTGAACCTCTCCCTTTTCCGGTTCTATGTCCAGTCCAGTTCTCAGAACATTAGTAAATATACCAATCAAAATCAAACAAATTCACAAGGAAGGTTCAAATTGAGATCCCATACAATGTCACATGAAATATCTTTGGAGACAGAAGAGATAACTAGTAGTGGTGCTATTGAGACAAACTAGGAATTTTTTTTGAAAAGGTAAAAATAAGGAAAATAACCTAGGACCTGTTTGGTTAGGGGATGGCTAGGCCATAAAGCTCATGAAAGATCTTTTATGGTTGGGTAAAATGTTCTTTAAATGTCACAACCCACAATTACTCCTTTCTCATCCCTTATCACCCCCCCCCCCAATTCCAGAAGGACCCGGGTTGCCAATGTTGCTTCCATCAAAATTCAACTTGAGGAAACCATTTACAGGTGAGTCCCAATCCTTCAGCAAGTATATGCTTCAGAAGTGTAATGGAAAATTAAAAATCCAAGTAAATGACAAGTATACTGTCTTTGGAAGGGACAGTCAGTGCAACAAAATTTAGAATTACAAAGTGGTTAGCTGGGCATTAAACAGAATGGAATGGCAAAACAGGATTCATTGTAGCTAACCCCATATAGTTGGGATAAGAATGGTTTAAAATGTCCCTAATTTCCCTAATATTTCCAAGACATATTTCCATTTCCGTGGGTAGCAACATGAAATTTTACCAGAATCGACATTTCCCCAGTGAAAGATCTTTTATGGTTGGGTAAAATGTTCTTTAAATGTCACAACCCACAATTACTCCTTTCTCATCCCTTATCACCCCCCCCCCAATTCCAGAAGGACCCGGGTTGCCTATGTTGCTTCCATCAAAATTCAATTTGAGGAAACCATTTACAGGTGGGTCCCAATCCTTCAGCAAGTATATGCATCAGAAGTGTAATGGAAAATTAAAAATCCAAGTATATGACAAGTATCCTGTCTTTGGAAGGGACAGTCAGTGCAACAAAATTTAGAATTACAAAGTGGTTAGCTGGGCATTAAACAGAATGGAATGGCAAAACAGGATTCATTGTAGCTAACCCCATATAGTTGGGATAAGAATGGTTTAAAATGTCCCTAATTTCCCTAATATTTCCAAGACATATTTCCATTTCCGTGGGTAGCAACATGAAATTTTACCAGAATCGACATTTCCCCAGTGAACACCACCAGCACTATGTGGAGTACAACTGTACAAGAGATAATTTCCATGACATATTTTTATTTCCATTCCCATGGGTGGCAACATGAAATTTTACTGGAGTCAACACATTCCCCACTGAACACTACCAGTACAATGTGGAATACAAGAGATAGTTTTTGTTGGTTCGGCTGATTTAATGTATATGTTAGTCATTGCTGGGTCTTAAGTCATTAGTTATTGGGCCTAAACTTGTTTAATGTTTTATTTGTCTAGGTGTCCCATCACTAATCAGAGGCATTCTAGTCCATTCATGTAACACTATGTGATAAACATATATATAAGATAAAAGGGTCGGCTGAAAGGTTTTGAGCCGCCATTCTCAAACTTTCTCTTCTTCTTCTCTTCTTCTTCTTCGGCAACTGTGTTCCAGCAAACATGGTATCAGAGCATTAATCCATCTCCTGGTTACAGCCGCCGCCACCTTTTCTACTCTTATATATTCCTTTTTTTTCACTCTTCCCTATCTTGGTCACTATGAAGAAACCCTAGGGTTGACCGTAGAACACAACAAGGTCTATACCTAGGGTTTCCCTTGGTTGTAAGGCCCAAGGGGAGTTTGTCCCAGAAACTGATGCCCTACTAGACTCCTTATAGCAAGTAGTAACCATTCGGCTGCTAAGAGAGATCTGTGTGGAACGGATCTAGGTGGAGGACTGATTTCGGTAGTCCTAGTACTGGTCGTAGGGGTGACTACAGTCTACGACAGCAGAAGTCAAAGCCCAGTAGAAGTCAGCAAGGTGCAGCGATGGGTTGCTCTTGGTTTCAGATCCGTTACGAGTTCTCTGGACTGTAACAACCTCGGTAAGTCTGAAACAGTATTCTTTGTACTAAGTTTGCAATCGTGAGAATTGTTAGAGGGAGGAGATGTCCTCAATATCCGAGGAAGTGTATTCTAGGGATAATAGATCTGGTGGGAGGTCTCCTAATCTGGAGAATCCAAATCTGCACAGCTTGCAGATCACCAGYGTGTTGTTGGATGAATACAATTTCAGAGAATGGTCTGTTTCTGCCATGCTTTTTATTACTTCCTGGGAGCTCACGGGTTATTTAAATGGGCAGAAGAAGGAACCTGAAGTGGGTAGTGTGAAGTACGCAGTTTGGCGTAAGGAGAATGCTACTGTTATGTCCTGGCTGCTTGCCTCAATAACTCCAAGAGTAGCCAGGATTGTTCAACACTTTTCCACTACTGCTAGGATTTGGGAGAAAGTGTCTAAAACTTATGGACAGAGAAAAGAACAATGCCAAAATTTATAGGTTAAACCAAGACATTGTTGCCTTGAGACAAGGAGATATGACAGTTGCAACGTATTTTGCAACCCTAGAAGGACTGTGGGAAGATCTTGATCACCACCTTATTCTTGATTGGGAGAATGCCAGAGACAAAGAGAGGCATGATAAGCAAATTGAAGAGGGTAGAGCCTTTAAGTTCTTGGCTGGTTTAGACCCAATGTATGAGAGCATAAGGTCTCAAATTTTGGGAAGGGATGAAATGYCAGATTTACATCATGTTTATTATCTAGTAAGGAATGAAGAGGTCAGGAGGAAAGAGATGCAAGTTGACACTCAAATGCAGCTAGCTGAACAGCCTGTTGAACATTCAGCCACGATTTCTTCAAATCAAAAGGGGAACAAGTATTTAGACAAGAGGCATCTTAAGTGCACTCATTGTGGAGGTAAAAGGCATGTAAAAGATAAGTGTTGGGTTCTTTATCCTCATCTGAAACCAGCTGCCTTGAGGAAAGACAAGAAGCACCAGAAGGGTCAAGCAGCAAGTGGGAACCTTGTTACTAGTCACAGTGGTGATAGCACACAGAACACGTCAACAGTTGCTTCTTCTCCCATGGGACAAACTGCTTATTCCTCCGTATCCGGGTCCTTGGGTTTCACTGCTGATGAGGTAGAGGTCCTTAGTCGGGCTTTAACCCGTCTAAGGACTAACTCTCTTGCTTCCACCACCCTTGCTAGATCAGGTATTGTCTCTGCTTTTAGTGTAACTAGTTCTATTGACTCAAATTCTTGGATTATTGATTCTGGTGCAACTGACCACATGACACATATGTCCTCTTTATTTTCTTCCTATCACTTATTGTCTGGTCAAGATAAGATGAGAGTTGTTGACAGTTCTCTCTCCACCATCTCTGGGAAAGGGGTGGTTGACCTAAGCAAGGACYTSTCTCTTAAATYTGTTYTGCATGTTYSCAATCTTACTTCCAATCTCTTATCTGTTTCAAAGCTTACCAAGAATTTGAACTGTAGCATAACCTTTTTTCCTACTCATTATGTCTTTCAAGACAGATTGACGAAGAGAACGATTGGGAGCGGTCACGAGTATGGAGGTCTATACTATTTTGATGCAGATATCAGTTCGGCCTTACAAACATCTGCTACTAGTAGTCAGAATAATGTGGAGTCAATAGCTAGGTTACATTTGTGGCATGCTAGGCTAGGTCATTTACCTTTTTCATCATTAGAAGGGTTGTTTCCTAAACTGTTCAAGGGTATTTCAAGTCAAAGTTTAGTTTGTGAAGTGTGTCAGTTGTCAAAACAATGTAGAACTGTTTATCTAGTTTCTAGTAATGAAATTCAAGTTCCTTTTGATTTGGTTCATTCTGATGTTTGGGGCCCTTCACCTCTTGTTTCTATTGATGGCTTTCGTTATTTTATCAGTTTTATTGATCACTACTCACAATGCACATGGATCTACTTGTTAAAAGGATGTGATGAAGTGCCACGGATAAACATATATATAAGATAGTAGGGTCGGCTAAAAGGTTTTGAGCTGCCATTCTCAAACTTTATCTTCTTCTTCTCTTCTTCTTCTTCGGCAACTATGTTCCAGCAAACAGTTTTATAACATAAGTTGGTGATAATATTGTAGATATGTGAAGTAACAAATTATTGTCCACCTAACTTACAGGATTACCACGTTGAACTAGCTCAATATTCATTTTAAACATATTAGTCTTTGTTTGTGTAATAGATTATTTGGTTGATCTATTACAACTATTTACATTTTCTATGAGTTTAAATCTTGCTTTTAACTCATTCTTCATGAAGCTCTGAATCTTAAGGTTTACAAGGCAACTTCAGAACATATTCTTTTACCTATAACCTTAGTTCTTAGCTTGTTTAATGACTTGGAACAAGATATTAATTTAAAAAGGTGTGCCTATGCTTCTTTTATCATTTCATAAAATATCATTCTATATTTTGCATATTTTACAATGTTTCCACCATGTCTATAATTTTTACAATATTTCCAACATTTCCGACATTTTCTTATATTTGGATGACTGGCATTTTAAACCTTGGGGATAAGGCTTAGATGATGATGAAAGAGGTTAGCTGGCACGCTATGGATTCCTCATTAAAAAGATTGTTTCTTATAACCTGCTAATTGCTATATGACATGGTTAGTGACAACTGACAAGTTTCTCAACCATCAACTAGGAAGTATAACATCAAGTCAAGAAATCACCTCATCAAAATTCTTCCCTAAAAGTCTTGCTCTTTCTTGTCTCTCCTGCTTCAGTTGCCTAAAAAGTCGTTGCTCTATGTGGTCACTAAGTATTGTTCTAGGCAGGTCTTTTGCACCAAGAACAGCACTCTGAGGTAAGGGCTTACGTTCTCCTCTTTCAATCTCTCCTATGTAGCAATTAGGACAAGTGTATTCAGCTTGCCCTCCATCATTCCTTCGACCATTAAAAAGGGCACATATTTGGTGTTGCCATGCTTCACATTTATCACATTGAACCCACTGCATATCAAAATAAAAGGTAATAAGTCTTGAACAAAAAACATGAGAAAGAGAAAATAGAAAGGCACACAACTTACCCATTCTTCAGTTTCCTCATCATTTCTTTTCTTCTCCATCCTTGACTTCAAAATAGCAGTCCCATCAACCTCAATAGTGTCACTACGGGCCTCATTGTAGCAGGGAATACAGAAGTAGTGCCGTGTATCACCAGTTCCCACGGTATAATACATTGCATTCCTTTTGATGCGAGCACCGCAAGGGGTACAGTATATAGGTGGAGGTTCAAAAGTAAGCTTCTCCACTGCACACAACTGACAGGAGTTCTCACTCATTGAGTGTTCCATTGCTTGGTTTTTTTCAGCCTTTGATTTACTCTAGAAAGGAAATTTAAAATGAATGTAAGTAATCAATTAGATAGGACATATAGTACAGAAAAAAGAGCTATCACTAAAATATATTTAACCTAGAGAAACAAGGTAATATACATGCAAGTTGAGCAGATGCACTGGTTACTGGTTAGAAAAAGTCAATAGAAGTGATTTTTTTTGTGTGTGTGGGGTGGGGTGGAGGGGGGAGGGGATACTCGGTCAGGAAGCAATCTGAAATTGTAAATAAAGGATGTAAGAAAAGCTTAGGTAGCAAAGCTAGCAATAAATGTTGAAGGGTGCTTGGCAAAATCTGTATTGCACGTTATTCTTTTCAATCACTAAAACTTCTGATAAATTACAGATAAAAGAAATTTTGATTTCAATATCAAGTATTCATGTTTTGATATATGATATGCATCACAACTTAAAATAACAACTATAGCAGTTTTCTTGCCTTGGTATTGGAAATGTAGGGTGGAAATGCTTATTACTCTGTTGTTAGTTAATGGTCATCCACAAAACTTCTTGTATAATTGATTATTCCATATTCTTTTAATTTTTTTATGACTTCTCATAATTTTAGCACTTTTTTTAAGTTTCAAATACAATCTTAGGATTTACAATTTAAACCTCGATTTGATTGGACCCCACCCTATACGGTTTTCAGAGACAATTCCACTACAACACTCTGGTACAGCCCAATATGTATGGCTCACATGAACCATTAATGGCGAACCACCACTCAAATTTGAAATTAAAAATTGAACTTTTCCTTGGGTTAGAAAGATCAGCACTACATCTAAGCAGACAGATTGCCCTGCAGGAGGAACTCAAGTCCCCTTACATTCCAAACCCTACAGCATCAGAACCTCAAACTTAGACCCTTTAATCAAATTCTGAAGGGATTCAAAGCCATAAGTTGATATTTTGGGTTCTGAATAACGTTTCATTATCTTCTGTTTTTTTATGGTGCTGCAATTTAATAATGCTGTGTTTGGTTTGATAGAAAATAAGAGAAAAATAGAACTTTGAGGGAAAATTCTTAATGATTTTCACAACTTTCGGTTTCTCTCTTATGTTCAGAAATCCTGAATTGTTCCTTAACTGTCCATTTCTCTCTTATGTTCTATCAAACCAAGCACAACCTAAATTTCTTTTTACTATAAGAAAAATGTAAAACAAAAATGCCTTAGAAACAAGCGAAAAAACAACCAGACCATCACTTAATTCTCAACTTGGAGCCAGTCCACAGAAAAACAAAGAAAATTGTTGAAGTGCTGCATAGGATGTGTATATGAAGACCATTTGTTAAATAGTTGATTGAAGAAAAAAATATCAACAACATGTACCACATTCCCCCCACCTCCAATTTAGCCACAAAGATGAAATCAAATGATCTAAACAACTTAGTATAGTAAGGAGTTTCATATGCTAACCTGGCCAACCCACTGCCTGAGACCTCTAATATGTTCCCGAATCTGCTCAGGAGTGAACAGTTCAGTCAATGAGACACCCTTTATTTTTGGCTTCCCTGATTTAGTTCCAGAAACATTTTCAGAAGGTATCATGACAGATTCCTGCTTCATTTCTTGCTTAGCTTGATCGATCTTTTTTTCAACTTTCATGCTATCCATCTTAGAAACACCAACAGACTCGTTAGGAATAACAAGCTCAACCTCAGGCTTCATAGTGTAGCAAGCATCAAAAGTATTTTCCTTTTTCTCACTTAAATTAGGAGAACCACCTCCAACAGAACTTAAAGATGGTTCCATCTTTACTTCCATAACCTCACACTTAACAGGCATAGAAACATCAACCTGTTGGCAAATGGTGGGTTTGGCATCCTGTGAAACATGCTGTTGGCTCATTGGAAACACTGATACAGGAGAACCTTCACCCTTGGGCATAACAGATGGGGAATGGTGCTCCATCTTGATTCGTTTCATTGATGACTGCAAATCTTCTGAAATTTCACCAGTCGATGGACTAGACTTTGAAGTCAATCTAGAAACATCTGAAGTTTCAAAAGATTTCCAAGATCCACTAATCTGATTTGATAAGCTAGTTTCTGAAAAAGAACGAGCCCGTGCCTTGTGTGATCTTAAATAATTGTTGACAGGAACACAAACAGGACATTCTGATCCCTTGCAGCTTCTGTAATGTTGAACCAATCCCTTCGTCACATGGCAACGAGGATATGGACATTGATGTACAGTGCACCTCACCATATGCCTCCACAACTTTTGTGCAGTTATGCAATGAACTGCTTGACATTTTCCTTCTGGAGCTGAACATCCACGAGCATGCCACAAGAATAGCAACCACCTCTGTTGATTCAACCACTGTCGTTCAAGTGTCACATTTCCAGGTCTACACGCTGAACCTCTTGAAGCAAAACACACTGCAGAACCCTTCGAAAGAGAACCTTGACCTGATATTGAACCTTCTGATGATAGATGAGGCTTCTGAGCTTCATCTTGCCCTGTTACACCTTGACAAAACTCCTTCACACGCTGCTCATGACATGACTGGTCTGGGATGTGGGACTTCTGTTTTTCAGAATGCAATTGCCCCTGGGGTAGTGGTTCAGAGTGCACTCCAGAAGAGATGCAACTAAAATCACTGTGTAAATCTGCAACTTGCTGGTGTGGATGCATTATTTGTGGCATTTGCTTTGAATTATTTGACACTGATAGATAAAAATCTGCTGGCCCAGAAGGATGAGAGACCAACTGAGTGCATCTGGAATGGTCTTCAGAAGCACTCTGCTGGAACTGATCCTGCAAATCACTAAGTTGGAACTGTTCAGGAACTTGTGAGTGCAGAACTTCATTATGAGATTCCATTACATGCTCAGGCATTGCTTGACCACCTAGACTGGATGACAGTTGAGGCTGCCTGAACACATCATTCTTTGATAAAAGGTTCAGGTGCTGCTGACTTTGTTGCTTTTGTTGATGTTGATGTTGAAGGAATTGTTGCTGTTGAAACTGAAGAGGCTGTGATTGAAGCTTTTGCAGTTGTTGCTGTGACAAATGCTCTCGGTTCAAATTGGAAGATTGAAAATTCATCTTTGGTGACTGATCAGTAGTTTGGACCTTTATATATGGTGTTTGTTGTATAGCCTGCAAGTTTGTTTGATTGGCTATCAAGGGAGAGTTGGTTTTTGACTTACACTGCAAGGTCACGGTGTTAATATTTTGGTTATTAATCATAGGTGCAACAGATGTTGTAGGTCCATAAAGGTTTCCTGGCCCAGATAGATCAGCAGCGCTAATCCCATATCCATCACTTCCTGAAGGATTCATTTGCTGAGACAATGCTGTTGGAAGAAAAGGGAGAAGTGAAATTAAAAAAGTGAAAAAAAAAAAGGCAAACTCTCTTGTTCCTTGCATACCAGATGCGTGTGCATGCACATATACATGAGAAAGAGAAGAGAGAGGAAAGAAATATATACTTTGCATTAATTGTTGCTGACGTTAAGGATCAAAACGCTTATGTAAAGGTTTTGGTGACCTACCATAGGAAGAGGCAGTCAGATAGCCTTCAGAAGCTGCAGGCCCATTGATGAGTTGTATATTGTTCCCCACCAACCCCATCCCGCCATTTAGAGCTCCATTTGAAAATGGATAAGAGGATGGCTTTGGCTGCAAGCTAGATCTCATATTAGTGCTCATTTGCCCTCCAAAGTTGTGCAAAACACTTCTGTTTTGACCACCAATGTACTGTTTTGGCTGCTGATGTTGCTGTGAGACTATAGTAGCTTCAACACTGGAAAATCCTCCAACATTATTACAAGATTCAGAATTCATGTTAGACTGGTTACTAACTAATCCAGGTGTAGGAATCATTTGACTTGCTATTCTTTGCACACCCATTGATGAAATCATATTATTTCCACCAGATCCAATGGGGACATTTGCAGACGATTGCTGATATCCATTAGGTAGGGATCCTGCAGAAGATAAAAAGGTTACCTCAGACAAAGCCAAGTCAATAGAATTAATTTATGCAATTAAGATGGATTTACCATCAGATATATTGAAAGAACCACTATGTATACCACCTGATGACCCATTGGTGGAGGGCAGCAAACTGCTTGAGTTAACAGTGTTTGGTGTTATGGTACCACAAGCACTACCAGCAACCACTGAAATGTTTATAGAGGAGGTAACTGTTGGGTTTGAGTTTCCACTTTGTGGCATCCCGGGGGTTGGTATCATCATGCCAATAGATGGAGAAGATGACATTTGTTGGTTGTGCTTATTTGCAGGTGCACGTTTTATCAAAGAATGCAAGCGGAGCTCCAAAGTATCCAAGTTCATATACTCCTCCTGATGTAACAAAGAGGCAAAGTCAGAAGAAAGAACATATCTGTATGCAGATGAACTTTTTCTTTTGATATATGTATGTGGATGAACATTTACTGAATAAAATTTATAATATGGATAACAATTCTAGAAATCAAATGGTTTCATGTCAGTTTTTTACACAACCAAATATTGGAGGGAAGGTAAGAAACAGAAAAAATAGTAAATGTTCTGAAACCAGAATATGGTAATGGCTGCTACCAGGAAGGGGATTTTGGGAATGATTTGAATGGGAGAAATGTCAACTTCTCCCTCTCAGTTGACCACAATAAACAAGAAGGCTTTATTTTTCCTTTTCTTTTTCTTTTGATAAATGAGAGTAGTTTTATTAATTCAAAAAATAGTAGTACATTCAGCCTAGGAAGAGGCACGAGGTGTTACCTCCCCCTAGGACTGAGTCATAAACACTAAACAAACACAAGCCTGAAACACAGTTACAAAGTGGTCCAAAACAGATCTCCCCTTGACACCCCTTGCTTTGGCCAAAGAATCAGCCATTGCATTTGCTGATCTGCTGACCCACTGAAACCTGACTGACATATTCCTTGTCAGCCATTTAACTTTCTTTAACAGATCCCTGTAGCCCCAACAAGCTGTCTCTGGACTTGTCAACCAGCCCACTACTACCTTGGAATCCCCTTCTAC